GGGGGAAAAAAAAAGACATAGACGATTGCCTCAATAATTCCACTTTTAGCTAGTTATTTTTTTTTGATAGTAATTAGAGATGGTCACCAAAATTTGTGGATAAAAATGTTTGTTCACTGTATCAAACAATGTTCACTGTACCAGTATTTACAGTAGTGGAAATCAGAAAGAAATTTGAATAAGTGATGATATGTTCTATGTGTGAGTGAAATAGTATGTAAAGATTTTAAAGTCATTTTTGAGTTGGGGTTGTGGCTCAGTGGTAGAGTGCTTGCCTAGTGTGTGTGAAGCACTGGGTTCGATCCTCAGCACCACATTAAAATAAATAAATAAATAAATAAATAAAATGAAGGTATTGTCATCTACAACTAAAAAATAATTTAAATCATTTTTTAGAATAATGTTCAAATATATAAGTGAAATAAAAAGGTTGCAAAGTAGAATGTACATTATAGGGCTAGTTTTAGGAAAAGAGAACAAATTCACATACACAAAATCTTTCTTTTTTTTTTTACTTTTTAAAATCAACATATTATAATTATGCATAATAATGGAATTCATGATGCCATATTTTTATAAGACATAATTTGATCAGTCTCATTCCTCAGGACCTTCCCTTATCCTCTTCTCCCCTCTCCCCATAATCCAATTGCTCTATTCTACTGATTCCCTATCTAGATTTATTATTATTTTAACTAATACATTATAATTATATATAAAAGCTATACTCAAAATCTTCACAGTACTTTTCTCTGAGTGATAGTGGCTGATGTATTTTTTCTTAAACTTTTCTCTTTGTTTTTTGCAGTACGGGCCTCACTCATTCTAGACAAATATACCTTCAGCGTTTCATTTTTTGTTCTATCAATCTTATTTTGAGACAGGGTCTCACTACCAGTCTGGCTTTAAACTTTCAATCCCCCTGCCTCCATCACCACAGTAGCTGGGATTACATGCTTGTGCCACTTAACCCAGCAACTATTCTGTATTTTCTAAGCTCTCTACAATAAACATGTTGCGGAGGCAATACTGCCAGCTTCTAAAGCCAGACTGCCTGGGCTTAAAGTCTGGTTCTCAAAATTATAAGCTGTGTTACTCTGGGAAAGTTACTTTTTTAAAAATTTTTTTTGTGACTCGGTTTTCTCATAGACAAAAAGAGGGATGATACTACTACTTACCAAAATGCATTGTTGAGAAGATTAAGTGAATTAACATGTGGCAAGCATGAAGGGCAGCACTTGGCATGCAGTACATGTTTTAAGTTTTAGCCAACATGCATTGCTTCTACACCAGAAAATATGTAACATGCTTCAGATTGGTAGCTCTATGCAAATTTTTTTAAAAATATTTTTTAGTTGTTGATGGACTTTATTATCTTTATTTTTATGTGGTACTGAGAATGGAACCCAGTGCCTCATACGTGCTAGGTGAGCACACTACCACTGAGCCACAACTCTAGCCCCTCTATGCAAAATTTTGACAGAAGATGAAACTACTGTTCAAAATACAGTCTTACTTAATTCATCTATGTCTACTCATGAAGATGGCCAATGAGGCCATTGAAATCTGAAACTGTAATCATGTTAAAAATCTGCTTTCCCCAAACCAAAATTTTTGAAATGATTTTTTTTTCCTTTCTCAGGGAGGGGCTTTCTTTTTCATAGAACATGTGGCAGATGAGCATTCAACCTGGAATTACTTCTGGCAACAGGTCATAGAGCCTGCTTGGTACCTTGTGTTTGACGGATGCAACCTGACCAGAGAGAGCTGGAAGGCCCTGGAGCGCGCCAGCTTCTCTAAGCTGAAGCTGCAGCACATACAGCCTCCGCTGTCCTGCAAAGTGTTGCGCCCTCATGTCTATGGGTATGCTGTGAAATAGCACGGGGTGGCAATAGCTGAATGACTTGAACAATTTAAGACTTCAGTTTTTCATTTAAAATACTAATTGGGAAAAGGGATACTAAATGTTATGTAAAGTCGAATTCATCCTTAAGAGTTTTTATTATATCTTATTTAGCCATTTTTATTGTTTGCCCAAAGAATTAAACCCACCCAAACAAAAAACAACTTGGAAACTCTCCCTTCAAAGGAAACGGGGGGGCTTTCATAATTGAAAAATACCATCATGTCCAAAATTTATCTTCTTGAGGGACAGGAAATTTTTTCAGTTGTCTTCTTTAAATTGTTACCCACATATTTTCATTTCACTCCTTTTGGAGAGCTTGGTGCTAAGAAGCAGTTAATCACTTCAAAACACGACTTCCAACAGGGAACAGTGAAAAGACATTAGCAATTCACAAACTGAACAAAGAAATATGAGCTAACTGAAAAATCCAAGTACAAATGGCCCAGACATTCTGTAAAAGAAAGACGAACCTGTTTGTTCTTCTCGATATCACTGGTTTGCCTTCTGGGGTTAAAGTACTAGGCTGTCACATGTAGTTCTGTGCAGCTTTCTGTCTTTTATCCCAGTGTCCCACCAAAGTTAGTTTTCCTGCATTCCAGTCCTCATTTCTTAAGATTACACTTCACACATTAGTATAAACATAAAACTAGATGAGGCAGTTTGGGTTCTGGGGATCATTGTCCTTATAATCCAGCACATACTTTGCTGAATAGATGATTACAGGCAAGGAAAGAAACTGCAAATAGGAAAACTTGCAGAATTAGTAGACTCCATAAGTACCCCTAAAAATCAAGCAACCCATGAGTCTGTAAATAAGTAGGCAAATATTTCTTTGATTATTCTGATCAAAATCTACTCCATCCAAGATGATTTCTTTGTTCTCTGCACCTCTAGGAGCCATGAAAATGATCACAAGTGCTTTGAAAACAAGTGTTAGGCTGGTTAGTCAGAGGACTTCATAGGATGTATTTTAACAAATGTGTGTTTTCTGAAATGATTTTGCAAAAGTACTGTTTTAAATACCAAATCAAGCAATAAATTCACATTCATTTTAAACATAGTAATAAAAGAGAGTTGATCTCTTTGACAACTTGGTTTCATTTTTCTTCATGTCTCTAAGAGGTCTTCATTGTGGTAAACTAAGTACTTAAACTTCTGGAATTTTCTTTCTACAGCTGGGTAAGTAGAAACACGGCTAATGGATCTGAGGAATAGCAATCTTGCAAGGATCACAGTGGGCTTTGAAAGGGTCATGTCCAGAGAAAGACCCCATTAGTGAAATGCACTGTTCTGCCTCTTGAACAGGAAAAGGATTCCTGTGCAAGTGAGGTGGGATATTCACCTAACGCTCTGCAACTTGAATCTCCTTCATCTGTAGTCTCCCAAAAGTAGGAACCTCCTTTATCTACCCACCTCACTATTGGTTAGGTTGGTCTAGTGACTGAGAGATATGAAAAGACCCAGGTATACTTGGTGATATGTTGTCACAGATAATACCCAAGTACTAGTCATTTTCTTATTAAATCCCTCTTTTCTAAGTAGCATGGCAAATAACATCCTCACTTTTGATTAAAAAAATTAAGGGGTAGAGAAATAAATAACATTTCTTACATTATTCCACATATCACTTAGCAAGTTTAGAAGCCCTGATTCCCCAAACCACAAAATCTGCTGTGACAATCATTGCAGCAACTTTATTTTCTTTTTGCTCCCTTCTACAAACCAGACAATACATATTTAAAATCTCTCTAAAGGCCTCCAGAAGTGATTTAATACTGTGTTAGAAAAAAAGAAAAGAAAAGAAAGAAAGAAAGAAAAGAAAAGAAAAAGTCAAAGAAAATTTCTAATGTTGGGACTGTAGTTGTGGCTCAGTGGTAGAGCACTTCCCTAGCATGTGTGAGGCACTGGGTTCAATTCTTGGTACCACATAAAAGTAAATAAATAAAAATAAAGGTTCCTCCACAACTAAAAATATATATATTTTAAAAAAGCAAAAACAAAAAACCTCCAATGTCTTTCAAGTCCTGTTTTGGTTAGTATCCCATTGATTCAAATTATGTAACTCATGACCCAAACAGACTTAAGATCAAAAAGGACTTTAGTGCCTCAAATTAGTGAAAAGCACAGGGGCAGCAAGCCTCAGGCACAGGTAGCTTAGGACTCAGGTAATGCTATCAGGAGCCAAACGGACTTTAGGGTCATGTTTACATTCTTTCTCTGTTTGTCCTATCGAAATAGAATAGAACGGCCTATTCTCCCCTCAAAAGTTTATTTTTCTGTGTATCTACTTTTTACAGACCTATTTTAGGCAGTTTTTTCCCCCACTATGACAAAACACCTGATAAAAACAATGTTATAGGAGGAATAGTTCATTTGATCTCAGGGTTTCAGAGGTCTCAGTCCACAGATAGACAACTCTACGCCCGAGGTGAGGCAGAACATCATAGTAAAAATGTGCGGCTGAGGAAAGCAGCTCAGGGCAGGACAGTCAGGAAGCAAAGTGAGTTCTCTCTCATCAGGGACAAAATATATACCCCAATAGCACACCCACAATGACCCACCTCCTCTAGCCACATCATAACTGCCTACAGTTACCTACCAATTAATCCCTATAAGGGCATTAATGCACCGAATAAGTTAAAATTCTCATAATCCAATCAGTTGACTTCCAAACTTTCTTGCATTGTCTCACATGAGCTTTCGGGGACACCTCATATTTAAACCCTAACATTCCACTCCTAGCTCCCAAAACCTCATGCCCATCTTACAATGCAAAATACTGCCGCAGTCTGGCTGGGCACAATTCAGGAGCCACTTGTCAAAAGAAACGAACTTTATTTTTAGAACCACACACACCAAACAAAACAGCTCCTCAGGAAAAACCCTCAGAGCCCAACTGCCACCACCAGCTTCCCACAAGCCTCTCTCACAACCCCCAGCCTCTCCACCTCCCACAATCCTCCTGCTCTTGAGGCCGATTGGCTGGGTCGCGTGGGCAGAGCCAAAAAAGTCCCCCAATGAGCAGCTCTGTGGTCTGAAAGGGCAGGGAAACAGCCCAATGAGCATCACCACAGAGGAGCCAATCAGCTAGATGTTGCTGGGGCTGCTGTGAGCCAATCATCAGCCGGCAGCTGGAAGTTTGCTGGCAGCTGGAAGTTTGCTAGGGCCCCTTTGGCTGTGGCTCTCAACAAAATACATCTATTCATTTCCAAGAGTCCCCGTAGTCTTAACAATTTTAGCATTGTTCAAGTCAAATCCAAAGTCTCCTCTGAGGACCAAGGCAAATCCAGTATGATCTCTTGTAAAAACCAAAAGCAAGTTACAGCCAACTACAGTGGCACATGCCTGTAATCCCAGTGGCTTGTGAAGCTGAGGCAGGAGGATCACAAGTTCAAAGCCAGTCTCAGCAAATTATTGAGGCCATAAGCAACTTAGTGAGACCCTGTCTCAAAATAAAAATATGAAAATAGCTTGGGAATGTGGCTCAGAGGTTAAGTGCCTCTGGCTTCAATCTCCAGTACCAAAAACCAAAACAAAACAAAAAAGCCAAGTTGTATATATCCAATATATAAAGGCACAAACATTTCCATTCTACAATGGAGAAGGAGGGGAATAGAGAGAAGGGATGAGACCAAAGCAAGACCAAAATCCAGCTGGGTAGCTCCACCTAGAGCATCTGGGGCACTTGGCATTGTGATATTCTCTCCAAAGAGTTTGTGTGGCTCCGCCCCTATGACCCGGCTCTTTGCAGCCAAGGCATTTCTCTTGACTTGTCTCTATTCAAGCTCTATTTGCAGCTTTCCCCAACAGCTCCCATGTTCCTGGCATATCTTATTGCCAAGGGTCTTCACAACACCCTCGGCTTCCTTCTCACATCTCCATGCATCACTCTCTTGAGGACTGCCTATGGGGGCTGTGACCCTCCTGTACTTTGCCTGGCCTCCCAGCCCTTCTTTTGAAATTTTGGGGAAGCTTCTATGAGCCCCTAACTCCAACATCCTGCATTCCTGCAGAATCACCACCAAGTATTTGCTACCAACGTCTGCTACCATGTCGAGCAGTAGTCAAGCTTCCAAAAACCATGACTGCAGCAGGCTCTTAGTGTATGGGTGGCTGAGCATATGAAACAACTTCCTACTCCCACTCCCTGCAAGAAGTGTCTCAAAGTAATTTTTACTTTTACTACCCTGAGCCTGAGATGGCTGTGGTCTTGCCAATTCCCAAGGTGGCCTCAAGCCACTTTTCCTATTGTTTCCAGGTAAAGTATTTAATGTTTCTTTAGTGGCTATGATCTCTTTAACAACCACAATTTCCTTAGTCCTTATTTTACTTACACTCTTCTGGCCAAACTTCAAGTTTTTTCAAATCTTTCTCCTCTACTTTCTGCTTCTGATTCTCAGAGTAAACTTGGCTAAAAAATTCCAGCAATATCCATGCCACCACCTAAATGTTGTACTCATATCTAAACCCTAACATTCCAATCCTAGCTCCCAAAACCTCATGCCCATCTCACAATGCAAAATACCTTCATCCATATCCAAGATTCCCAATAGTCTTAACAATTTTAGCATTGAAATTTCCTCTGCCAGATTAATTAGTCTATGACCTTTCAAATCAGCCTCACAGAAAATCTCAGGTCAGGCAAAATATGGACAACTTCTTAGCTAGAACATAACACAAATGGCTTCTATTCCAATTTCCAATAGTCCTCTGTCTCTTCTGGAACCTCAAAGCCCAGTCTTTACTGCCCACAGTCCTATCAACATTCTGGTCTTCTGAACTCTCACCAGAATCACCCACTAAACTCCACTTAGAATATTCTAACGATTTTCCAGCTTGCATCTCTAAAGTTTACAAAATTCCTCCCACAAACTCCAGAAAGCTACAAAAACTTTTGAACCACACAGTCAGGGTAATCACTGCAACGAACCCACTTCTTGGTACCAGTCTCTGTTTTGGCCACCTTTTTCAATGCTGTGACCAAATGACCTGACAAGAACAATTTTAGAGGAGGAAAAGTTTATTTGCTGCTCATGGTTTCAGAGGTCTCAGTCCAAAGATGGCTGACTCCATTGATGTGTGCCCAAAGTGAGGCAGAACATCAGACCCACCACTTCCAATCACACCTTACCTGCCTACAGTTACCACTCAATTAATTCCTATTAGGGGATTAATGCACCCATTAGGTTAAAATTCTCATAAGTCATTCATTTCACATCTAAACTTTAAGTAGTCTCACATATGAGCTTTTGGGGGACACTTCATATCCAAACCATAATACCACCTGGGGCTACAAAAAGTAGATATTAGAGCTGTGGCTGTTCAGCTAATAACTGATAGACACTATGCCTCTCCTCAGTGCTGGGCAAACTGACTATAGCTACTGCTGCCCTAGGATGCAGCCACACAGCAGAACCAGGTCAGTGGGACAAGCAGAAGGCAGGACAGGTAATGGAGTTGGTACCACAACACATGTAATGTCAGCATTGGTCCCAGCCACCCAGAAATGGTCAAGGGAGATGGTGACACATCCTGGCATCTCTCCACTGCTTCTGAAATCCCATGGGCAACCACAGCAGCCATCATGATGGCCATGAGAGACCTTTGCTCTGGCTACAGCACCTCCACAAGACTCCACTTAGCAGCCTCTCTGGATGGCTCCACCCACCCTGAAGCTGCTTCAGGTGTTCCAGCCTGTGAAGAGCACCTTCCCACCTGTGATAGCCAGCACAGGAGGCAACAGTACACCTGGCACAGACTGGCATCTCTATGCAAAAACTCTGTGGTTAGCAGGCAAGAGACTGTACACATGTTTGGGGCCATGCATATGAGCAGCACTCCCCTCACCCTCACTGCGTCAGTCTGGGCAAGGCTCCTTCCCATTTACTTCTCTCCATTCTGATGGAGCATGTGTTCCTAACAGCCTCTTTCAGATGGTTTTATCTTGTCTATTCCTTTCTTTTTAAAGAAAATCTGTGTGGTCACTTAATTCTTTTGCCCATTTGTGATTTCTAATTCAAGTAGAGCAGGCTGAACTGGTCCATTACCAGTTGTTAACACCAAGGGCTGCTGGTCTGAGAACATCTGGCA